CTGTGACCATAAGTCACTGTGATTTTACTGCTGAGCAAATAGGGCAAAATCAAACGTGGGCAGTGGTGATCTCACACATCTCCCTTGCAGCAAACACTGCAGGTGCCTTGCCATCCCATAGGAATTCATGGTGAGATAGGGATTGTGTGTTAATTATCTCTCTGTAAAAACACTGGTGTATCAGAAAAAAGCAAAGTCTGAAACAACCAGTCCATGCTGGCAACGTGGCAGGTTTCAGTCACATGTGGGTTGGGACCCAAGCTGATCCACCACCGGTTGCTCTCCTGGCGTTGTGAAGTTATTCCCCCTCCTTGGGGGCAAAAGTAAGGGTTGAAATTTGTCTCCTTCTCAGACATTTTGCCATGTTTTCTTTCTGTGGGATCGGGAGAAACTCATGGTCACCATGTCTCAGAACAGAGGAAAAATCAAAGCCAAAAATATAGGCTGTGTTTCTTTTTGTCATTTTTTCATGGGTTCATAGATGTTAGGGGCTGGAAGGGACTTTCCAAGATCATCGGGTCCAGCCCCCCTGCACTTGGGCAGGAAAGACTGCTTTCTTTTGGTTTGTATAAAAAGACGTGTTGGAGGCGAAATGAGTCTCGCTGAGCAGAGCAGCTCAGTGGTGCTATGGACTGATTGATAACTGCCTGTTTGCATTTGCCCAGCCAGCCCAACTGAGGGCACCTCTACGCACCTGGGAAACCTGCTGCCTTGATATTCGGAGTGATATTCTAAGTACTCCATCTCCTGTCTCTCCTCCCTGGGCACTATTTGTTGTCAGTGGGTGCAGTTCCCATGCTGGGTGGGTCTGGATCCTGCCCATCCCTCTGAGCAAAGTCAAAGCTTCACTAAACTACATAAGAGTGGGGGACAGAGGAGGAAGGGGCAGAGTGGGGGCAGGCAATAGGCCAAGTGGCTGCTGGTGAGACCTTACCCTTTTACTTATATTTCCAGGTTAAAGGAACTTGTTGCCATTCTATTCCAATAAAGGAAATAAGGACAAATGACACTACTGAATAAGAGAGAAATGCCAGTAGCACATGTGTAGGATGTCTTGCCTTTGGTGGGAGTTTGTGTGCTGACACTGACCCCGCCTCATCCCCCCCAGGCTCACAAGGAGGGAAGGGCAGCAGGGTACAAATGGAGGCCTTTAACGCTCAGCTCCTTCCGAGGACTGGGAAATCCAAAGGGCAGATCAGATGATGTGGGAGCTGGTTAACTGCATGCAGAGTCTTTCATCTTCCCATATCAGTATACCTCATGCCTTTTATGACTAGAGACAGCAGCAGCAAGGCTCTGATTGAGACTGGCACGCCAGAGTATTGTTTCACACCAGCCCCAAGGCAGGACTGACACCTGTCCCCAGAGGTCTGTGTGAAGTGAGCCAAGAATCTTACTCCAGGTCCTGTAGAGGGGAATGCTAGCCCCAGACACCAACCCAGACTTCCTTCCTTCTTTAAATCTGAAAAGAGGGCATGAGCTAAGAGCTCATTCCCATTTCCCATTTATAGAGGGAGTTAAGATGATGGCCTAGTGTACAGCGCAGGTGAGCACCTGCAGCAGGAGTGAAAGGGTGATGTCCATTCCTGAAGTTCAAGCCAGAAGCATGCAATAATCAAGGGAAACTGCTGCACATGCTGCATGCCTGACCTGCCACTAGCAGGCACTAGTTTAGAGGACTCATGTTTGCGCTCAGCACCCTGTAAGATGCCACACAGCCAGCCTTAATAGCATGGCAAACTTTGGCATAACTTCCCTGATATGGAATTGAGACATAGCACACCTAAGATCACAGGCCTTGCTGTTGTTAGGTCAGAGAAAAGTGCTCCTGCAGGTAGCCCTGTGCAGAGGGGGTGTCAGCCTCTCACTGTGTTTTGAAGGAAGAAAAGGGCTTGATTAAGCCAGATGCTGTATTCACGTAAAAAAATATAACAGCTCCACCATCTTGTACAGTTCCTTCAATCACTCCTTTATTTTACTTATCCTGCACGTCCTCCCGCGTATGCAGGCACACGCTGCACTTGATCACATCTATTCGTTTAGCAGTACATGCAACCGTTCTAGTATCATTGGGAAAAGTTTCTTCCCCCTCGATGAATTACAGGCACCTTGGGAAAAGCAAGAGCGAACCCCCTGCAGTGAGAGTTTGACACATCAGAGGTCTCTGAAAAGGGACTCAAGAGGTCTCGGTTCAATTCCCTGCACCAGCACACGTCTTCTGGACCCGCAACTTACTCTCTCTTTGCCTCGCTACTCTCATCTGCTAATTGAGAATAGTGATCGTTGGCAACCTGACAGGGGTTGTGTATGAGTTAAATATGGCAGCAACGTGGCAGGGAAACAAGAGCACTTTTATATACAGATTTCCTACCCCTTGAGACAGTTGTGTGAGATTCCTACTGGGCCAAGTTGTAAAGTCCTGAATCAGCGACTTCTCGAGTAGATTTCATGGCAGCGTCCACCCCGCACCCACCCCTGGGGGCACTGGATGGAGGGGGCGGGTGGGGCCTCCGTGTAGACAGACCCAGGACCCATGTGGGCAGGGTGCATTTGGCAGGCTGGATGGACAAGATGGTTGCAACCCAGTGCTGTAACATCTGAGGGCTACAACAAGCCATTTTGGACGACAAGATGCAGAAACAAAGGAGGCCAAGAACTAGCAAGTGGGAGGACGCTTTTCCTGGTTCCAGCCTATTTTTATTCCTTACAAATTCAACCGTAGGCAGATTGAATTACTCGATCAGTGCTGGAAGGTACAGCGCACCTGGAGAAGACAGGAAACTCCAAGGTGATCTGGGGGACTAAGATAGTCTACATCAAAACACATTTACCCTCCTCCGGGGAGACTTGTATCTGGAGCCTTATGCAGCCCTGTGAAAGCTTCCATGATACGCAGCCCCTCACTGGGCAGCAGCCACCTGTGAGGTAGGACATGGTCACCTAGTTGTCATGGTGGTGCTTACATCACAAAGGCTGTTGGCTCACCTCTTTCCTGGGTCCTGGACCTGGAGCCTTGAGTGCCTCCGGACGCCTTCGCGATAGGAGCTGCTCAGCGCATTAGAGAAGGGAAGCTTGTTTAAGCCGACTTTGAACAATGGAAGTCATCGATCTGAAACTACCCAGCAGAGGTAAGATCCCCACGATGTTCCCCATGCCTAATCTCTAGTCCCACAGCCCTTCTTGGAAGCACAAGGAATAGCTGGATTAGCCCAAATCAGCTTTGCTAGAGCTAGATTTTAAGTTGTGCAACCACTGTTACTTGGTGGCCTGGACGGCAGCTTGGGTGATCGATACCAGGTCAGGATCAAGCCTTCAGCCTCTGGACACTGGCATGCCTCCAGTCATTGGAGACTGTGTTAGATGTTCTGGGAAAGGCCTCCTTCCATCCCCGGGGGATTTCTGACCCTGTCCCCCTTGCAGCCAGGTGGGTGGCGTGAGGTGCCTCTGTATACATTACCTAAGCTGAAGCACGACGGCAGCCTATAGACGTGCTGGTTCGCGTTCTAACTAGAACAGGTTGGAGCAGGCTCAGTTAATCGAGTCTGCTCCACTTTCTAATTAAAACGCTCCAGCCTTGCCTCACTGTCATGTGGTTTAAGTGCCCTGCCCCCCACCGCCACATTTTAAAATGGCGTTGGGGGTGCTTTAACTAAAGCTCATTGAATAAGCTTTAGTTAAAGTGCTCCAATGGCAATGTTAAAATATGGGGTGCTTAATACATGTGACGGTGAGCCGTTTTAATTAGAATGGCTGTTGGGGAACCTCTCTAATTTAAACAGCCCCTCCCTATCCCTGGTATGCTTATAGGCAACCTTGCTTTCAAAACCATTGTCCCTAAACCATCATTTTGGGTGTGTGATCCCAATTGTCCAACTAATTGCCAAGGAGAAAAGAACTGTTATTGTCTGCACGACTTCCCTTATTTTCCTGAAAACAAATGTCCCAGTAATCTCCCCTTCCAACTGGCTGGGCCATTTTGCAAGCAAATCTCCTAGCATAACCGAGCGGGAGAAAGGGGAAGATGCATCTTCTCCCTGACCAAGTCCACTCTTGCCTCTTTGGCTGGTACAGCTGTGGCCATTGCGCACGGGACTGATGATTGTAGGTTTTTAGCTTCTGATGCTGGCTAACACCAGAGCATCATCTCCGCCCTTTTGGCAAAGACGGGATTTTTGGCAGAACTAAATTGCACTAAGAAAAGTACCTCTTTAGCAGTACCAGCTGCCTGAGCCCAGAAGGATGGCCTGGAGAGCTCTCCCCTTGTTGCTGTGCTAGGAAACCTTTCCTTTGGAGCCAGGCTACAGGGTTTGGCTCCAGCAGAGCTGCTCGTGGGTGGTGATGAACGAGAACAACGGGAATCAACAGAATCCTTTTCCTCCATTTCAGGTTTTTCCACCAGTGAGCCCTCTGCAGCGAGATGCCTGGTGGATCAAGCTCAGGGCAATCTTGGCCCAGAGTCTGGCCAGGCAGACGTGGACCTTGACATTACTGTGAGCCTTCTGCTGGAGAGACTCCAACAGGAGGAGGTAGGGCGATGGCTCACATGTATCACATGGCTGCTCTAAGCATTTCCTTCCAGGCTGTGCAGGGTGGGACCCCAACTAACACTGGTCCTTGTCCATCTGCTGGGTCTTTTCCATTTCTGCTCTCC